AACTGAGAACCTGGTCCCTCGATGATTGGCTACGAAAGAAATGTTCGGGTAAAATGAGCTAATAAGTATTTTCTTGCAAAGTCTAACTCATCTCTATACCGTTACAGGTAGACATGCATGATTACAGAGCAAATAAACAGTCAAGGCAGTATACGCTGGCAAAAAGGGCAAAGCTTACAAATGCAAGATTTGTCATGGAACCTGGTTCTCCTGACATAGGTCAGTAGTTTCTCTATTTTCTCATGCACAATTTTGAACGGTTAAAACAAGTGTCACGTCATCAGTATGTCAGTTACTTTTTCTTTGCGTCCTTTGAACCCAAACATCTCACCCATTCAAAACCAAACCAACTCCCAAAACTACCGCCCTTTCTTAATCGGTCCATCATCCATCATAAATACATCTATGACTGTCACAACTTCTCCCATCAAATTTCAAAACCCCCTTCTTTTGTCTCTCTTCAAACTGCTGAATCCCTTCTCTTCTTCTCACCATGGCTGAAAATCAAGCAACCTCGAGTGTTCCAAGCGACACCTCCATTGAGTCCTCACCTGTTGAAACACTGATATTAGACTCCTCACCTCACACTACTGCTAGCCAAAACCCTAGGACAGAGTCACCCCCACATCTCGTCTCCTCTCCTACCCACTCGAGTTCTGGTTCTCATAGGAGTCGCAAAATCTCGACTCCCAAAAGATTTGTAGCCCAGAGCTCTTCTCCTGCTTCGCTGGAAAAAGGGGATGAAAAGAGTACCGCTGACAAAGAAGAAAATCAAGAAACCTCAAGTTCTCCTATGGAAGAAGGGTCAAAGGTAGATCAAACTGAGGGTTTTGAGAATGTTGACTCAACAAAGACTGCTCGTGATCTTGTGTCCACAGGTAACGCTCCTTCCTCTCTTGAGTTTTCCATGGGTGTACAAGAGAAAGAAGCAATAGAGAACATGTTGTCCATATCTTATGAAGGGGTTTTTGTCGAAGGAGGTGAGGATGGTTTTTGAGACTCAGGGGGAAGAGTCTAAGACTGTTGGAGAGGGTAAAGAGCTTGTGCCTGTTGAACCATCGGCACAGGAAGGTGCTACTGGGGAACCTGCTGGAGGACCTTATCCCCCTTCGGAGGATCCAACTCAGGTGTCCTCTACAGAACCTCAGGTCAGCAGTGACCCTACTCCCTCTCCTCATTTTGATGTTGAGCCTTTGTCTATGGTGGTTCCTGAGAAAAAGTATGTGTCTAGAGAAGAAAAAGGGGATAGTGAAGAGGATTCTGATGATTTGCCAATAGCAAGCTTGACTAGGCGTAGACCAAGGGTTGCTCAAGAGTCTACTCCTAAGCGATCCACCACAAGGTTGCAAAGGAAGGAGGCTCTTGAGTCTGCTCTTAAGAATAGCCAAGCTAAGTCAAGGAGGAGAAAGTTGGTAAAAGATGGGAAATCTATGAGTGAAAAGTCAGTGCCTGTCGTGAATGTGGATGAGGAAGAAGCCGAGGAACCTGATTCCTTGACTAGAAAGCTCTCATAGAAGCATGGTCTCCCCAATCCAAAAAGGGGATTTTCTGTGTCTGCTGAAAATCTGAACAATTTGTCTCCAGGGAAAATGTAGTGAAAGAATCTGGTGATAAGTCTGTGGAAGAGTCTGGTGCTGGTGTAATGGAAGAATTGGGTGAAAAGTCTGTGAAGTCTGATGAAAAAGGGAAAAATATTCGCAAGTCTGCTAAGAGAAAAATTGATACTGATGAGGAACTTGGTTCCTCAAAAAAGTACAGAATTGGTGATCCAAGGAGTGCTGGGAAAGAGAGATTGAGGAGCCAAAAGGTGCTTTGGGGCCACACATTTGCACCTGATATCTTGGAGGAGGCTGGTATAAGACAATTGGTGGAGATCTGTGAGTTTCAACAGTGGACACATTTGTTCACCAATGATGCTCCAAAGGTGTATGAGGAGGAAGTTCAAAGTTTTTATGCCGACTTATTCAAGGTTGAGGATGATCACATCTGTGTGTTGGTGAATGGAGTTGATATGGTAATGGACTCTGCTTTGTTGGGGTCTATTCTTGGTGTACCTACTGAAGGACTGTCTAGTGTTCAGGGAACCTGTTCTCAAAATTTTAGAAACGCAATCTTGAAGGACAGAGCAGTTCAGCAGGGGGAACGGGTTCAGAAGAAGGCCCTCCTTCCTGTATACCAACTGCTATTTGAGATGGTGAACAAGGTATTGCTGCCTCGAGCTGAGAGAAGATCTATCACCTCTCGTGCAGACCTGTTTCTCATGGAAGCACTGGACAACTTCTCTACCATCAATCTATCTGGGATCATGATAGAGCACATGAATAAAGTGGTAGACTTTAAAGATGGTAATCATGGGCTGCCGTATAGGTTCCTTCTCACCATGGTCTTTGAGCACTTCAAGATTCCTCTGGGACCAGCTAAAGTGGGCACCAAGAAGAAAACTTTCTCCAAAGCTACTCTTGAAGAATGTGAGTGTATTGACAAAGTTGGAGGAGTTGGAAGCACTTCTACCTTATCTCAGTTGATCAATGCTCAAAACAATGCTACTACTGAGATAAGGTAATTGAAAGCACGGAATGCTATCCTTGAGACTCAGTTAAGTCATCTTCAAGAGGCACTTGGTTCCAATAGCTCTCAAAGTGAAGAGGTTGCTCGTCTGACAAAAGAGAATGCTGAGCTCAGGAAACAAGTGGAGGATCTGAAAGAGAGACTTCTCAACGAGCAAATGTCAGCGAATGCTTGAATGGATTTAGTCCTCCAAACCCTTGCCTCTGCCTCCAAGCATTCTCTTTCCAGTGCTCCCTAAATAGTGTCCCATCAGTGTCAAGTCTATGATCTAGTTTTTGGTCAAGTCCCTCAGTGTCAGTTCTTGTGATGATGTTTTGTGGTATTTTTTTTGCTGTTCTAAATTGTGGATGATGGTAGTAACATTGACTCTGCTCCTGTTGAAAAATCCATATTATGTTAATGCAAGTTTTTCCCTTTTGTTGTTTATACCTTGCTTTTATGCTCTGTTTTTAGTCATGATTGTGTGCAGATAAGTGGAATGAGTTAACTTAAAGCTAGAATTCTTTATTGCTTAAAAGCATGTTACTAATATTTTTATGATGCCAAAAGGGGGAAAAATAATTCAGGGGGAACAAGATGGGGAACAGAATCAGGGGGAATACAGGAAATGTTGGTTCTTAGGGGGAACTTGAATTAATAAGTTTGTCATCATCAAAAGGGGGGAAATTGATAGGTTATATGTGTATCCCTGTTATGTTTTGAGGATCTAACAAACTTACTGTAAAGAACCAGATAAGGAACCAGATACACTTCTTCAGGACCTTAAAATATCAACATGTCTCCAGCTGGGACACAGTTCAACTCATTAGAGTCAAATGAGCAACAGAGGGAATAGGTCACTACCAGCTCACGAGATAACTGTACGAAGTCAACTCTCCAAGTGGAAAAGTTGCTGCCTGCACACGCTACAGTACAGGGACAGTGCATCAGTCAACTTTCTGAGGAAGGGTTTTTACCTTCCTTGCTTACATCATTGTAAGTGATGTCACACATGTATTATTAACATCAAGGAAGGTAAAACAACTCACTTGAACACTTAGGGAATTTACTCAAGCACTCTCACGTGATTGATCATCCAGCAAGCAATTCTCAAGTGCATCAAGAACAGAGAACAACACGACTACTGACCAGTTCCCATATCAAGTTATTGTATGTCTTTAGTTGAGCTTTAACTTTGTAATAGTTCTTCAAGTGTAAGTCCTACTTAGCTTGTTTAGAAGTATTCTGTTGGAAACCCTTTGTAAATCTTAAACCCTTGTGTTTGAGTCTTGGCTAGAGTTAGTCGAGTTGTAAGTCTTTGTAATAGAGTTATTACAAAGTGGCTTGTAATAGAGTATTACAAGTTAGTGATGGATTAAGAGGTTAATTCCTAGGTTGCATAGGTTGTAATCTAAAAGTAGCTCAGTAGTGAAGGCGAAATCCTACAAGGGTAGGTCGTGATTTTTAATCCCGTTGAGCTGGGAATTTTCCACGTAAAATTACTCTTGTCATTTATTTACTGCAGTGTGCGTGTGTTCTGTTGAACCTGATAGAGAACCTAGTTCTCTATAGAGTTTGGTGGACCCTATTCTATCAAAAACTTTTAAATCAAAAGTTTGAACTCTTTTGGGAACTATCACATATAATTTTGATGTCTATCGAATTATTAAGTTCTTTATAAGAAGAATTCGTTCAATTTTAGATTAATACGACCAATGTGGAGTGTTGATGTTATAATTTTCAAAATTCTTGTTTGTTTTGCTACGGTTAACTTATAATAAGGAATTCACATATTTTATACGATAGAGTTTCTTCTTTTATTGAGTTAGGTAAATATGATCGATATTACTAATTTTTTACACTCTAAACACATCAATCTACTTGTGCAATGTTTAAAATTTACTCCCTCCGGTCCAAAATAAGTAATTTTTTAGATATTTTCACAAAGATTAAGAAATCCACCTTCTATGAGGAGATGCATTTTGCAATGGGAGAGATTCCTTTCAAGTACCTTGGTGTCCCCTTATCTTCAAAAAAAATAACAGTTCAACAATGTATGCCCCCTGATGGAGAGAATGATTGCAAGGATCAGATGTTGGACTACAAAATTCCTAGCATATAGTGGTAGAGTTCAGCTTATTAAGAGTGTTCTTTTTGAGATCCAAACTTATTGGTCGCAGATCTTTCTGATTCCAAAGAAGGTGCTGCAGCTAATAACAAGTGTCTGCAGAACATTTTTGTGGACTGGACAATATGCAGCATCAAGAAGAGCCCTTGTCGCATGGGAGAGACTATGTATGCCAAGATCAGCAGGCGGCTTGAACATAATCGAATTTCAAACATGGAATAAAGCTACCACAACAAAATTGCTTTGGGCTATCACTACAAAGAAAGACACTCTCTAGGTGCAATGGATTCACAGCTTCTATATTAAGGGTAGAAACATCAATACTATGGAGACACCTAGACAAGCATGTTGGCTTATTAGGAAAATCTTTGATTCAAGGAAGTGGTATGGGGGAAATGACTTGTGTGAAGATCTACAACAACTCACTAATGCTGGCAAGTTCATGATCAAGAAGGCATATAAACACTTGCTTCCCCAATATCCTAAAGCTATATGGAGAAACCTTAATTTGATTCCATGTTCTGTACCAAAGTACCAATTTATTCTCTAGCTGGCACTTCAAAGGAGACTTAGTACAGCAGACAGAATGGCTAAATGGGGAATTCAAGTCCCTATGAACTGTGTACTATGCAATGCTGATACTGAAGAAACTCACACTCACTTGTTCTTTGAATGTGATTACTCCAGAAAAATGTGGAGCTCTTTCTTACGATGGATAGGAGACAACAGGCAAGTAGGGACCTGGGAAGAGGAGATTGAGAGATTAACAACCAAGCAATGCAACAGCAGAGCACATGCAGAGGTGCTAGGATGGCTATTAGCTGCTACTGTCTACCATGTTTGGAATGAACGCAATGCGAGAAGATTTCAAGAACAGCAGCAGGAATGTGCATCAAGACTAAGAGAGATTACCATTCAATTACATAGGAAAGGACAATTTAGAAGCAATTGGAATAGATTACTTGATAGTTTGAACTCATACCCAAGTCTAGTATAGACTAGTAGTTTAGTAGATATATTGAGGGGAGGAGTAACTGTACTAGCGTAAAATTTAGGACTAGTTCTAGAGTAAAAAAGAACTAGTGGATGTATATATCATACTTGGTTGAATAAAATTTTATTGTTTGACCAACAAAAAAATATTAATTAGCAATGAAATTGACCATGTTAACCTTTACTATCTCTCTGCACATAACACTCCTAACACATACTCCAACACTATTTACTCCAAAGGCAGTGTAGGAAAATAATTAATTCATTCTTGAAATCTGAAAAAATCACTTATTTTGGACCACAAAAAAAGGCCAAAAAATCACTTATTTTGGACAGGAGGGAGTAGTGTTCATTGATATGGTAACTCGCATTTCCCCTAAAAAAAAAAAAAAAAAAAAAAAAAAACTCGCATTAATAGTTCCATTAAAAGAATAGGTTGTGTACTTTCTCTAAAATAGTTCCATGAAATTTATCATAGTATATATAGTTGGTAACTCACATTAATATCCGAGAAACAAGAGAAGCATTCTGTATAATTTAACATTAGATCGATTGTGTTTTTTTTTTTTTTTTTTTTGGGGGGGGGGGGGGGGCAATTATTATTGGTCCAATTAAAAAATAATGTAATGTGATATTTAATTCTACCAAAGGGGAGAGGATCATAATTCAACTCAATGCGATATTGAATGGGTAAATTATCTGGTGTTTACATCAAACCTTATTAAATACTTATTATAGTTAAGTGATTTAATTAGGATAAAAATGTATATTAAACCATGCATGATATATGACATATATTTATTGAATTGGTGTAAAAGTGAATATAGTTAATATTTTGTAGTACTTTTTTGATTTTTTTGATAATCGTCAATTAAAAGGCCCAAAAAAAAAAGATTTCATTGAACATGCAGCTACTTCTTGTTTTGGATTCCTTTGGTCTCCCCTTTAACGGAGAATCACTTTTTGTAATGACAGCATAAATTAAACACAAACAATATAATAGGTGTACTTTTGAAAATGATACAAGAGGAAGAAAAATAAAAGATTATAAACCAAAAGGCTTTTTAATTGTCCAATTTTGTTGGAGGAACATACCGAGGAGTATATTATATGCCTGCTTTTTAACTAAAAGTTTATTTTTGTTAGGGTGGAGTTTGAACATTTCTTAACAATTTTTTAAATGAAACTTTTGATATACTTTTTGGTAGAAAAACTGCTGAAAGATTTTTTGCAATTTTTTTTCCTTTGTTTAATAAGAAAGTTAATTTTTCGTTTTTTTTTTTTTTTTTTTTTTTTTTTTTTTTTTTTTTTTTTTTTTT